GTAATGAAGAAATAAAAGAAAACAATATATTATTGAAAAAAAAAGCAATTTGGAGATGCAGCTAATGATCTTTAAAAAACAAAACAAAAAAAAAAAAAAAAAAAAACAAAGGAAGAATTTAATTAGCTGACTGAAAACATAATGGAATAAGTTTTAGGTATTTCCTCTTAAGCTCACTTGAAATAAAATTAAACCACAATTTTTAACATGGTTCGATTTTTTTATGTCTTTATTTTTATTCAGACTGCACTGTTTTTTGTTCAGTAGCCGTGGTTTTGCTTTTTCTAAGCGTGTAAACACCGAAACTTCTTCGTTTGGTGCAGATCTGTTTCTGCACCACCTTTACCTGCTCCGGGTCCTGAACTATCCAATCAGAGCGCAGCTCGCGGCCGCACCCAGTCAGTAGCGGAACTCTTTTTTGACTCAGGTGAAGCACAGGTGTGCAGTCCCGCAAACTGAAGGAGACTTAATGACTCTCTTTTTTCTTGTTCATCTCTGGAATATCAGAAAAGTTTGATCTCAGAGTCTGCTGTAGCTTTAATTGCTATGAGCTGTTTTTAAAAGAAACGGTGTCTTTTCTGTAAATAGATTTTATATTTTTTTCGTGAACTAACGATGGAGTAGTTGCGCGTCGGTCACATTTTCATAGTGGCGCATAGGAACTGCGTCTTTAGCACACCATGGATTACAGACGCACTAAAGGAGCGCTTTTTTCTCTTATTGTCTGCATATGTTTTAGTCTTCCTAATGGTTCCAGAGGAGAGATCCCACCGAAACCCACAGCAGGGGTCACGATCCTGCCTCCGGTTCAGCCTGATGAGCCGCAGGCTTATCCAGAGGATGAATATCCAAATTTACCTGTGTTCACTATGGACTATACAAGAATACAGATCCCGTTTGAAATCACCTTATGGATGCTGCTTGCTTCATTCGCAAAAATTGGTGAGTACTAATAAACTTGTACAAAAAAGAAAAGAAATCCATCCATTCTCTCTAAATAAAAATATCAGTCTGCTCAGTATATGCTGCAAAAAAAAAAAAAAAACGTCCTCTGGAAACCTTTTGCTTGAATAATTACTATTACTGTGGGCGATTTGGCTCTACCATGAGAAAATCAGCAAAGGTTGGAATTTCTAGTGGTGTGGGAAGAAACCAGGCCTTGCTGTCTGATTAAAATCAGCATCACCAAAAAAAAAAAAACTTGAAAGTAGAGGGAAACATGTAGACATGAAACCTCAACTCTTTACTAACTGTGAAGACACACTAGTAATAAAGCACCTTGCATTCTGTATCTCCTTACCTGCCTCCAGGCTTTCTTGGGCTTTGATATTGCTGTAAGAAAATGACTTTAGACCTTCTCAGGCTACAACAACCACTGTCTATGTGCAGTTTTATTTCCCACAGTTTTTCATTCCACCCACTTTTCCTAAATATAGTTTAGGTACAGCACTTTACCTTTTTAGCAACTCTAAAGGTTTCTATGTCTGTTACAAGAGTCTTCCATTAATATCGTTTTCTGTTTTCCTTACTAACCTTAAGTAATATGTGAATTTTCAGAGAAAATTATGTTTTCATTGCCAAATTCCACAAAAATCAAAATAAACAGAAATCAACCCTTGAACTATATCATTCTGTCAAATGAGTCTATTTGAGCTTATTTTTTATTTTATTTTCAAAAACAACCTGTTCCATGATTTTCCAGCTCATGGGGATCTGGTGCTGAAAGGGCTCCAGTTTTTACACTAAACACAGATCCCTCTCCTCTTTTGTTTCAGGTTTTCATGTTTACCACAAGATCACCATCTGGGTGCCGGAGTCTTGCCTTCTTATAAGCATTGGTCTGATAGTTGGAGCCATCATGCACTCAGTCCACGAGACACCCCCAGCTGTTCTCACCAGCAATGTCTTCTTCCTATACATGCTTCCTCCTATTGTTCTTGACTCGGGCTACTTCATGCCCACCAGACCTTTCTTTGAAAACATTGGGACAGTGAGTAATAAACCCAACCACATCCCCTGCTGCGCTGGCATACATGCAATAACATATCCGCCTCCTCTTTTGTGCAGGTGTTGTGGTTTGCTGTGGTGGGGACCCTGTGGAACAGCATCGGCATCGGCATGTCCCTGTACGCCATCTGCCAGATCGAGGCTTTCAACGTGCAGGACATCAGCCTTCAGGAGAACCTGCTGTTTGCAGCCATCATCTCGGCCGTGGACCCTGTGGCAGTTCTCAATGTGTTTGAGGATGTTTCTGTAAACGAGCAGCTCTATATTGTGGTGTTTGGAGAGTGTCTCTTCAACGATGCTGTCACTGTTGTGAGTAGAAGCTCTGTGTTCTTTACTATTTGATGTGAAACTTGCTGGATAGCGCTAGCTCACTGTTTGTTATGAAAACAAACATTTGAATTGAGGTAGGATTTTTCTTTACAAATGCACATTATGCCTTGCAGTTCAGTCAACACATAAACATTGGTATTTTTTTAATGCATTTTAGTCACTTGGGAATGTTTATTTCTTATATCAGAGGTTTTAATTCTCCATTGTCAAAGCTTCACACTTTGTGACATTCGAAACCGTTAAAGCACATCTACTATTGTAAGCAAGTTTTTCTATTCTTCTGCACTCAAAAGGTTTGACTCAGGTTTCATCTTTTTTTAACACTTCTTTCATTCATTACATTTTTGGGGTTAGGGTAAACTCATGAGAACATGATGCATGAGGAAGAAACTTTTGATCCCAGATAAACGTAGGAAGAACAGAAGAAAGAAGATGTTTGAGAAATGAAACAAATGTGTCCATAGATAAAAAAAACCCCATGTCTGTCGCTTTTAGATTCTGTTTGCTCAGATGCTGCCAAACCTGTTTCTGAGGTCACAGTTTCATGTTCGTTTGGCAGCGACACATGGTACACACTGTCTGTTACATGACAAAGAGGAGCTTATCTCCCTTCCCATTCTCTTCATTTTCTACCCAAACACTCTCCTAACCCCCTCCTGTATACCAGATCCCTTTGCACCGACAATAGTGAGCAGTTTGTTTGGAATACAGTAGCATAAGTATAGAGAACAAACATTATGCAGAGTTATTAGAAAAGCTCTGGAGTTGAACACCCATACAGCAGCTTTAACAAGATTTGACAGGCATTTATTGGTTAAAAACAGGAGTGGTGTCACAAATAAGGTTCTTCAAGGACTTGCATACTACCAACTATTAGGACTCATCTTTTAAAAGGGATGGTAATCTTGCTTTGAGTTTATGTTTTATGTTTTGCCTATTGTACATTATGCAAATCTGAAGAGCAGACTGAGAACAGTGGCGATAATACACCACACATATACATTCCCACATATGATTTTTAACTTATAATCCTGTCAGAAAATCATTTAGAACATGGGCCCACTGTGGCACATGTCAATTATTTGATTTGTTAATATATTTATGAATCTTACCTGATAAATCCTTAAAACAACGTGGAAGTTGGTGGTATAATTTGGCACTTTCTTTTGCAATGTAATAGAATAAACCAGGGTGACATGCAATGCTGTGCAAATTCTATGCAGGGCATACAGGAAATTGTGAGAAATAAAAAATATTTTTGTATTTCTAATAAGTTGGTTTGCGCTACTAACCTCTTGATGGTGAAGATTCCCAGTCATCCAGGTCATAGTCATTCCTGGATTGTTTTTTTTAATCTTTTTTTGGAATGAAATACAATAATAATGCACGCATCTAACCTGATCAGACTATACAAATTATTTAATATGTGATGAAGAAACTGTTAGGTTAGCAATATTTTCAGGCAAACCCTCCAACTTTTTTTTTTTCTTTTTCAAGAATATTAAGAATTTGTAATGGGAATGAAGTAACTTGACAGTGTGACAGAGCTTTATTATGGTGGTATCTATTTATAACCCCAGTAAAAGTTTGATTTGGTTATTAACTTCCTTGAGCTGATTTCTCATGTCCTATACCAGAGCCTGTGTAAGACGAGAGCTCAATAATGTACCCACAGGTTACAGTCATGCCAGAATGCCTTAGAAATGTAATGTTTGTATGTAAATAACATATTTGACGATTTTCAGGTGCTGTACAACATGTTCACCTTTGTGGCAGAGATGCCAACCGTGCAACCTGTAGACGTGTTCTTAGGAGTGGGGAGGTTCTTCGTGGTAGGCCTTGGGGGGATGGGTTTCGGCATCCTTTTTGGTTTTGTGGCCGCCTTCACGACCAGATTCACTTCCAAGGTCAGAGAAATAGAGCCCCTCTTCATCTTCATGTACAGCTACCTGGCCTATCTGGTGGCTGAGCTCTTTGCCATCTCCTCCATCATGGCGTGAGTAGCTTTAAAAAAGGTTCTATAATAAAACACTAAAATTGTAAACCGTTTAACCTAAACTTCTTTGTGTGTTTGTTCATGCAGCATTGTTTGCTGTGCCCTCACCATGAAGTATTACGTTGAGGAGAACGTTTCCCAGCGTTCTTGTACAACCATCCGACATTTGGTCAAGATGCTTGGCTCCATTTCAGAGACCCTGATCTTCTTCTTCCTGGGCGTCGTCACCATAACGACCGAGCATGAGTGGAACTGGGGCTACATCCTCTTTACGCTGCTGTTTGCCTTTTTATGGAGAGGTCTGGGTAAGCAGACAGGAAGAGGACATGAATCAGGTTGAGGTCTATTTAAGAGGAATTGCATTTAATATTTACCTTAAAATGTTTACGTTGCACTGATGGGGGAAAAAGTAATTTAGCAGCCATTAGTGGTATTTTACATTGAGGTAATCTGGATTACTTTCCTGTTTAATTACAGATGACCTTGCGCAGCAATAAAACATTTTTTCTGTCTGCCATCAGCTACAGAGACTTCCAAGGATTATTTCAAATTCTTGGTTGCTTATTTTCTTAATTTAAAAAAAAAAAAAAAAAAAACTAGGTTAAAAGTTTCCTTTACAGGTTTAAATATCATCCAAATAGAGGCTAAAAGTGTCCTGCTATGAATTTAAGTGCCAGTTTTAAGCCCTTTTTATTGGCCTGATTAAAACTATAACCCAAAATCTTTATTTTTGGTATCTTTAGCTGCAGCTAACATTTTCCCTGTACTCTCCAGGCATTTTGGTGCTGACTCAGATCATTAACCCTTTCCGAACAATCTCCTTCAACATGAAGGATCAGTTCGGTTTGGCCTATGGAGGACTGCGGGGTGCCATTTCGTTCGCTCTGGCCTTCACACTTCCTGAAAACATTGGCCGAAAGCAGCTATTTGTCACTGCCACTATCGCAATTATTCTCTTCACAGTGTTTCTTCAGGTAAGACTTTCAAGTCTATGGATATGGTACAGATGGTTTGGTGCTTGATTATTCAAGGATGGAGAGAGTCAAAATCAATTAACAGCATGTAATTTATGATTTTGTTGACATTTCCAGACACATCTTAATTTGATGCCTTGAGAGTTTTAGACATGGCTTTTTTTCTTTAATGTTTTACAAAAAAGATAGGAATAAAATTTGATAATTTGTATCATGTTTTTTTTCCTCTGTTGTTTTAAATTATTTGCCTTATCAATATTTAGTGGCATGGTTGAAGATTTGTTTTTGTCATACTGGGTTTGAATCTCTCTCTAAACCATCCTAGTCATTTATCACCTAGTAGCACCCTGTTGAACTAGAACTATTCAGAAATGATGTGTTTAGATTTAATGTTTGATTGTAAATTCTCAGTGTAAAACATATTGAAATATGAGGCCATTTATTAGCCACTTCAAAAATGTTCTACATGGTCTGACCCTACTTTTTTTAAAACAGAAAAGTAGAAAAAAAAAAGAAAATTCATCTCCTCGCATAACATAACATACAAAAAAAAAAAAAGTGAGATCTTTATTCTGATTTCTATGTATAGACCTGAAATGTAGCATAAACAGCTACTTAATTAAGCGCTACCAGTTTAAGAGCTCATTATGCAGGCTTTTTGCTGCTCTTCTTTCAGTGTAACGCTGGAAGTCTAAACACTTAATGAGTTGATCGGTGTTGATTAGTCAGGTGGAGCTGTAGATAAAATATTCCCTTAGTTTATCAGTTGTTGCCCCAAAATGTTGCCTTAATCAAAGTGATTGGTGTTGCTTATCTAGTTTCCACAAAATTCCGCAATAAAATCAAAACGGACTTCTTTAAGTCAGCTGACCAGCAACAAGTGTACAGTAGGTTCACTCTAAGATACAGCTGGCAGTTTTTTTTTTTATTGTAGGTTTTTCATAGCATTTTGAAACATAGACACAATATTAAAAAGTCGTTAATGTTTCCTTTGTACAACCAAAGATTTGCTTTACGCTGCAATAAAGACTCTGCCTTCCAGTTTAGATTTAAAAAGTAATTTGGAAGAGATGGCAGTAATTGGCATCCTCACTTTTTGAAATCTTGAATGCTTCTGCCTTTCTCTCTGCAGGGAATCAGTATTCGACCGCTGATTGAGTTCATCAATGTACGCAGAACCAACCGCAATTTGGACACCATCAATGTAGAGATCCACTGCAGGGTATGTTGCAGACCTTTATTCATATTATGTACAGTGCGTGTTGACCGGGAAGTGCTTATACTCTCTGCCCCGTACCTTTCAGGTCATGGAGCACACGATGGCAGGAATAGAGGATCTCTGTGGGCAGTGGAGTCATTTCTATTGGAAGGACAAGTGAGTGTTTTTACATTTCTATTCTGAAGAAAGAGGATCTTTGAGAGATTTTAAAGCTTATTTATATTGGAAATTTGACGGGATGTTGACAGTTGATCAGGTGTTGGTATCGTATTTAGTGCCTGCAGTCAGCCGCTACATTTTTTATTGTCTGTTAATCTGGAAAATTAAGGGTGGACAACAAACTTTTCATACCTTAGTTATTTGATTTTTTTTTTTTTTATACCAAGCTTTACATACCTTAGTTCCTTTTTCTTTTTGTTTAATTATTATTAAGCATTGCAAGTTATTACAACGTGTCCTGTTTCTTTATTATTATTTTTTTATATTTGTATACAAAAAATTGGTGCTATGCCTCAGCAGTAAATGAGGATGATTCAGTCTGCCTTAAAAAGAGAGTTAATTCGCCATGAATTGGTTATATTTTTGAATCCTCACTTAATTTCATATCTGATTTTCGTTTATAACTCTTTCCTCTTCTCCTTCCTCTCCTTTTTGCAATGAGCAGTTAAATCTACGTGTTTATGTCCTTTAACTGGCCTCCATATACTATACATCCATCCATTGCTATAACCATAGGGGGGCTGGTGCTCATATCTAGCTGACGTTAGGTGAATTTAAGGGTGCACACTTTAAAGATTACCAGTTTGTCACAGAGCAGCACATATGACAAACATAACACAGCAACACACAACCCATCCTCGCTCATTTTTTTTCTTTTGGACTATAGAGTACAGCAGGGGTACCTGGTAAGGTGCATGAACAGGGAAAACATGCAGAAAGACCAAAGGCTAATATTCAAACACAGGGCCTTTTGCCAACAGCGCTACTTTGGAGCTATGATCAAACAACAATGTCTGATATTATTATGAGCCAGCTGAAAATAGTGGAGGAAATGGCTGCATACAAAGAAAATAAAATGATTAAAAGTTCTGTGAATGGGAGGCCTCTAAAATCCAGTACCACCTCAACCTGAGAAGCTTCACAAAGAGAATATCAATAGCGTGGGCTTCAGAGAGCAACTTACCAAGAGCTGTAAAGAACACGGCTGGTGTTGAAAAATCTGTCGACGAGATGACTTCAAATTTAGCTTTTCCAATGCGTATAGAGACAGGCAAGACAAAGACCTGTTGATGGGAAGGAATAACCTAATAAAAATGTTGCTTGCAGTTTACAAAAACATGTGGACAAAGTAATTATATTGAGATGAGAGCATATTTAATGCATTTTAAGTCCATATTAGGCAGAAGCTATTACACATTATTGAACACATTGATCCCAGGGTGAAACATGGTGGGAGCAGCATTATGCTGTGATGACTTCTTCAGCAAGGATTGGGAAGAAAGACAAATGGTGTTAAACAGAGGCCAATCTTAAGGCTGGATGAAGACATTGAATGTGCCATGCTAAAGCTACAACAGAGTAGCTTATGACTCATACATTGTCCTTTGTTGGGTCTAGTCAAAGCCCAGACACGACTCCCAACTAGGAATCTGTACTGGGGCTATAAAACAAATGTGTGTAGATTCCATCCATAAAATCCTACTGAGTCGTAACTATGTTACGAAGCAGAACTGGCAGGACATCAGTCCACATGTGCAAATCTTGACAAAATAAATCTCAAAACCCTGAAAGCTTTAATATCAAAGGTTGGTTTGGACATTTGTTTTCATCCATAGCTCTGTGAACAGAGAATTTGTTTTATACAAAACAACATATACTATAATAACAGTGGGTCTGTTATCTCAAATTCAGGTTCATGAGGTTCAACAACCGAATACTTCGTCGGATACTTATTCGAGACGCCAGGGCGGAATCCAGTATCGTGGCGCTGTACAAGAAGCTGGAGCTGCAGAATGCCATAGAGGTCCTGGACACAGTGTCTGGAGAAATCAGCGCTGCTCCGTCCGTCATCTCCCTCCAGTATGAACCTTTGATCATAAACCGTACCTTCTAATTTTATGTGTAGACCAACGAGTAACAAAAAATTTTGTCTTAATATCTCTTTTTGGAATTTAGGGAGGAGCAGAAGGAATCTTCTAAACAGAAGATGAGTTTAATGACTGAGGACCTTAAAAACATGCATAAAATTCTGTCCAAAAATATGTACAAGATCCGGCAGCGGGTAAGCTAAACAATTTGTTTCAGTTTTTTTTAAAGGAAAACGCATTACAGCACTGCTTTTGCATTATTTAGAATTGATACCAGTTATTTATTTAAACAGACTCAAGCATTCATAAGCATATCTTTCAATGTAGAATCATAATTTTATCATGAAATACTGTAAATTTTTATTTTTTTTTTTGTATTACTGGGTTTCTTGTGTACTCTTTCAATAAATACAGACATCGATTTATTTCATTGATTTATTTCAAATAAGAGAGTAGATATGACACATCATGCAGGAGGAATGATGGAGTACGACAAATGCATATAAGGGGAAGTTTATTCCCAATTTAATAGCTAAAGAAAATGATATTGGCTATTGATTTTAAAATGTTAACATTACATTTGTTTTTGGCCAGTGACGCAAATAAATATGTCACTGCTGGAAAGTATTCAAAACCAGGTTCTGCATTAAAATACAGCATGACAGTTTTAGTTATTTTAGCATGGATTATGTGACCTATAGAATGCCATAAATCATATCTGTAGCAAGTCTAACATTTATCACAGTAGCTGGATCTTTATTGACAGAAACTTCAACATCACTCTTAGGTCTTTAAAAGTGTGAGTCAGGCAGAAGGAGTCAACCAGGAATGCCGTTTCTAAAACAGGAAGTTTTAACTCTGTCTGTAGACAACAAAGGTTCTTCTTTAATAATCCAGATCTGACCCAGTGAAGAGGAACTTCCTCAGACACATTCAGAAAGTGATGGTGAAACATGAAAGCTCTAAACACTGAAACCCGGTCTTGTTTTGCATAACGGCAGCATGTCGCCAGCAGTACTTTTCCACCAGGGACAATGACATCAGCTCTTAAAAGACTCTTTGATGTGCAGGCAAACAGGAATCATGTGCCTTTATAACCAGCTGGCATGTTGTCCACTCACATGTTTTATTTTTACATATTGACAGTAATGTTATGGTTGCTTTTTGTCTATGTCCTGTACATTAGCTAAACTCCGCTTGTCACAAACATAATTCTATATGGATATATCATCTACTAGCCTCAAACTTTGAGATGTAATAAAAACATTGATTTTGATTTAATAATAAAGTCATATGTACAGTATAGGAGCTTTTCTGTTTCACAGCGGGTTTGTTTCTTATTGATGGAAATGGTTGTTCTGCAGCATCCGAGGATCATTTAATGGCAGTTTGCAAAGAGCAAACACAGATAGTGCCCCTTGTTGCTCAGACAGGTGTGGTCAGTTTTGGTTTGGTAATCTGAGCTTCAAAGATTGTCGTTTTCCCCCTTAAACCCCTTTAGTGGTCTATTTAACCAAGTCATGATTTTCTCCAGAGAATGAGGCTGTAAACAGATTTCTGCAAATGTCCACAGTAGCCAAGCTTAGCAAAATGTGTTATGAAGATCTTCATATTTAGCACACCAATGTGAATAATGTCTTATTTTTTTGTTGTTTATGTATACAGACTGTGGCATTCACAAGTAAGCACGCTCTGCCCAATGACAGCCAGCCCAGAGAGATCCTGATTCGACGCCACGCCAGCATCCGGCGAAGCCTCCGTCCTGGCAGCTTTCAGTCCACGGTAATTTCAACCTCAAGACTTCAGTGATTCTTCCTAATGCAAGGGTGCCCCTCTTTAAATTACTACTAAATAATGCTACCATTTAAGATAGAAATGTGCATGAATAGCAGAAGTTTAACTTTAAATAGGTGAGTAAAAACCCAGAAAAACTAATGGGATCTAAAAACAGTCCAGAAACAATTACAACTTACTTTTATCAGCCTGGAGGAACTTTAGACAAGGTTCTATTATCAATAAATTATTTATATTCTCTAAAATGAATTAATATCTTCAGATCATTTATGATATTTCTGGCATTTTTAGCATGTTTTGTGTTTCTAATACTTTAGAAAGTGATAAAGTCAATCCATGAATTGCTTCATTTTGATCACAAAAATTGGTAAACGGTGATTATGTTAACAATTGACCTACTGCCACAATATATAAAATGAGGCTATTTAAATTAGTTTAATGGAATCTGGTGTTTAAAATGCAAATGTTTCAGCATTTTTTTTTTTTTGCATACTTCTTTTAAACTTAATGTTTGTCGGTGTGTGTAGGCTCATTTTGTTTCTTGGTGGTGGTTTTAATGTTGACTCCTCCCACTAAGGGTAACCTTGCTTTTAAATTTCCTTCTTTGTGTAAAACCTGACACTAGCTTGGAAAATGGAGACTCATTAGAGCTGTGGCTGTGACAGCTGAGGTTATGAACAGACACTCTAAAGTGGTATAACTGAAATATTATGAAAAAGCAGAATATCTGTTCATCTGGGGTTGGTTATCAGGAGCTACTGTAAGTTCCATTTATTGTATTTTTAAAACTTTATCTGTAATTTACCTGTTTCTTCTATTGTTACCTCTGAATTTCTCGGGGATTAAGAGAGGAAAATATATTTATAAAAAATCTAGAATTAAAAAAATTTGTTTATAAAAAAAAACTAATTTGGATAAATAGATTAAAAATATCAATTTATCTGATCAGTATCTTAAATAGTTTTGGTACAATTAAATCATAAGTAAAATTAAAACGATGGTTTGTCAACTCATCCCAAGTTTTTATCTAATTAATGAAAGAAAGGGACAATTAGAAGAATTTTATGAATTATTTTAAAACTTTGGCACACAGACCTTAGCAGGAAACATTAGCACTGAATTTTACTGTAATATGCATAAGCAGGTATATGAGAACAGGGAAGTTTCCCCCCAGGCCTGAAACTGTTGGAGTGGAGATGGATGAAGTTGTTCAGTCCATAGACTGCTGGTTTGTGAGACGGTCTGCTTTAGCTGTATTGGTGAGATCCAGTAGACTGTGTGTGCTGATACTGGTGCTTTACTCAGGGACCCGGAAGATAGATGTCCAGCTTGGATAAACACAGGTTTGCATGAACCTTAGATATGATGGTGGTGAAGGGAACGGAGGTGGGTTGAATCGGATTCATCAGAGTCCAAATCAGAAACACAATCACCGCTTGTGCTTGGCTGGGCAGCAGACAGAGTCATGGACTTGAGGACCTTTTAAGATGAACTCTGGATGCTGATTGGGCTTTGTGGAGATGCAGTTCAAAGCTTATTGGTTTGCGTCAGAGGCAGATGAGCCTCTCATGATGAGGGCAAGTAGTTTAGTTTCTTGACTTGAACTTACGCTTAGGCTTCATTTAAGTGATTAAGCTGGAAATTAAAGACTGTGCAAGGTAACACACTTACATTCTTTACAATTGTATTAAAATAATATTTTCCTCAAGAATTACAGAAGTTTTTCCACTTTCATTTTGTCCTTAATGTTTATGTTTAAGATCCACTTCTGTAGAAACACAGATAATCCTGAGAAACTAAGGACTGCAGTTTTTTTTTTACATTTACCTAAATCTGATGTAAGTTGCTGGAGGTGAAACAGAAGCTCTTGTACTAATTTTCTCTTATTTGGTATTTTTCTTTCCAGATGGTTCCAAAGTCTCAGAAATATTTTTCACTTCCTGCTGGACAGAGTTTAGGGTCAAAATATCCTTCCTCTCGACTGAGTCATGCAGGTAAGCTTCTGAAACAAATCCTTCACACTCTTCCATTAGGTATAACATGATTATTTAAAGGAGAATTCCGGTTTTTAACACTTTTAGCCCATTTTCTGTAG